AAAAAAAAAATGCAGAAGCAGAAACTCACCTGGGGTTTCACCTCTACAATATATTTGCCTCTGTTGACAACTACAGGCTCATTAGCAAGCACATTCTCAAGGTGATCTAGCAGTTCTTTTGCCTGGCATGATCCAAAATCTGGATCAGCATCTTGATGATGCCACACAATGGCGCTCTCCTTCTCCTCAATATATGACCCATCTGTCGTTTCTGTATATAGCCTCATAACTGGCTCTGCAATTCTCTTCCACTCAAACTCCGAAGCTAACTCACAGGACTCCCATGGCGAATCTCTGTTCCACCTACAGTTAGAAAATAGCAATTTGTTTTGTAATTAGCTGAAGGGGAAGAAAGATAGACGTTTTAGCTCTAGAGAGGGGGAAGTAGTAAGAAGATGGAATAAAAAACAAGTTTTTGATTAATGGGATCGAGTGGATAGATTCCATTGTTGTTTTTCATGATGCAGACAGCTGGCAATATGCCGTAATCAATATATTGATGTAGAGAACTCATCTTAATGCAAAATGTCAAAGAAGCATATGCTTGCAACTAATGTATTGAGCCAGAAGAGAGAAGAAGTTATTACCTTGTGAAGTATCCATGCTCAGCTGAGATCCCTAACTTCTCACAAGCATCAAACCACTTGCTTAATGAATCTTTCCCCCTACCGCTAACCAAAAAAACCACATTTTTCTCATCCGAACACAAATCATTCAGAATCTCTATAACCTCCTTGCTCGGAGTTTTAACAATGGAGCTATTCGGCATCATCGTCCCATCATAGTCCAACAGTATCAGCCTGCTCCTCGTCCTCCTATAAGCAGGAACAATATGCTCCACTGAAAGCTTCCTGAAGTTCGGCCCCAACGCAACAACCCTAAAGTTCAATCCGAATCCGATCCCCCAACACCTTTTCATGAAATGATCCTTGCATGACTTCTGCAAATCCTGATCAAAAGACCTCGCCCAATAAGCAATGTCATGGGAACTCACGTACTTGTAGTGCTTCTCATGTCTCAGCTGCTTCTCATCCTCTGGCAACGAGATTGCGAGGTTCATTGCGTCTGCCATGGCTTCGATATTCCAAGGATTAACCCTAATAGCTCCACTTAAGGATGGAGAGCAGCCGATGAACTCTGATACTACAATCATGCTCTTCTTAGGCAGACCTTCTAATGCATCGCTGCCCTGACGGCAGACTGTGTACTCATAAGGAACCAGATTCATTCCATCCCTAACAGGATTGACGACGCAGCATTCAGCAATGGCGTAGTAAGCAATCTTCTCATAGGTTTGCAGGGAGCCGCCATCGAGCAATACAATGGGGGAGTAATCGGGAGACCCGAATTTTTCATTGATTCTTTTAGCGATAGAATGGGCTTCTTCCTGCATCTCTTGAATATCCTTCCCCTGGCTTCTAGGTGGGTTTGCAATCTGAATCAGTACAGCTCGGCCGCGGAGCTTAGGATGTTCCTCCAGTAGCTGCTCCATTGCCAAAAACTTCAAGCTGATGCCTTTGAATATATCCATATCATCACGACCGAGAAGCAAGATCTTATCTTTGAACCTGTTCATCAAATCCGTTACCTTTGATTTGGTTTCGGTGCAGTTAAGCGTCGCTTCGAGTTGTCCCATGTCGACGCCAACGTGAAGAATCTTGACCGTCACTGTTCGGCCGTAATAATCCAGCCTAATATATCCTCGCTTGGACTCGTAGTCGAGGCCGAGGAGCCGAGAGCAGCAGGAGAGAAAATGGCGGGCGTAATCGTAGGTATGGAAGCCGAGGAGGTCGGCGTTGAGGAGAGCACGGAGGAGCTCTTCTCGAACCGGTAAGGTGCGGAAGATTTCGGAGGAAGGGAAAGGGGAATGGAAGAAAAATCCGAGCTTTATGCGCGGGAAGCGTTTGCGGAGAAAAGTGGGGAGCGCGAGGAGGTGGTAATCGTGAGCCCATACGAAATCATGGTCGGAAGAGAGGATTTCCGTGATGCGGTCGGCGAAGAGCTTGTTGGCGGAGAGATAGGCGAGCCAGAGGCGGCGGTCGAATTGAATTCCGGCGAGGGAGGCAGGGGAGAGGGGGAGGAGGTAGTGCAGCAGAGGCCAGAGATAGTGTTTGCAGAAACCGTGGTAGAATCGTTGGTGGAGATCAGGGGGGAGGAAGACGGGAACGCACTTGAATTCCTCGAAGAGATGATGGGCTACAGAATCGTGTTCGGAGGGGTCGATATCGGCGCGGAGAGTGCCGACGTGGATGATGGAGGTGGAGGAGGGGAGGCCGGTGCGGAGGTGGAAGCAGAGGGCGTCGGTGTCCCAGGAGAAAGAGAGGTCGCCGGAGGGGTGACGGCGGGTTTGGAGGGGGAGGTGATTGGTGACGATGATGCGGCGCTGGGCGGGAGATGAGGGGGATGAGGGATCGGTTTCGGAGTCGGAGAGGACGCCGGGGAGGTTCAGGACTCGGGGGAGCCGGGGAGATTGGGGGGGAGGTGGGGGGGAAATGAGGGAGAGGAGATCGGCGTGTGAGCGGGAAGGCATCGTGGTGTGGTTGCGGTGGTGCCGGTGAGGGTGGTGGCGGTAGAGGGGAAGAGGAGAAAGGGGGAAACTTGGGACGGATTCGGTTACCACGGCGTTATAAGTTGGGGTTAGGGGGGGCGTGGTGTGGGAACCGGAGGGTAGGGTTACGGAGGAAGAAGGGGATTGTGGGGAAGCGAGGCGGGGGTTGATGAGCTATCAAGAGCATCACGTGGCATTTTGGTTGGAATGGATATGGGCAAGTTCATGGAGGTGGATTAAGATTTTAATTAACATAATTATTAATTTTTTATAAAAAAAATAGATTTTCAATAAAAATTATTGAGAGATTTAACGGTTTTAATTGTGATAAAACCATATTTGGTCACATCGATTCACAATACTTAGGTTGTATTATCACACCGTCTTCAAAGTGCATCAATGTACAGTTTGATGCTTTGTCACTTGCAACATTCTCCAAGATTAATGTAATACAATGTATATATATATATATATATATATATAGAAATATATTTATAGACACACACG